AGATTAATAAGTTTAATGTATTTATTTTAACACTTTCCTCCTACGTAGCAATCTTGAGGATAGAGATTACACAAATATGGAAACAGGGTACTTATGCTTCCATTTAGCCATTCTTCCAGTAAGTGGGACTTTCTGCTGGAATAAAAAGTATTATTAAATATCGAAATACGGGGCCTTCCCAACTGATGGAGGAGGGGCTAGATTTCATATCCTTGCAGTGCCTTCTGTACATGTCTATTCAAAGCAGGTCTCACTGAGTTCAGTGGAAGACATTCCCAGATAAATGAATATAGGCTGGATCCAGTAGCAGCGTATCATATCCCTACACAGCAGAAGGGAAATTATTCACTGTAGAACATATGTTGAGGGGGAGAGGGAAGGCTGGGTTCTACATTGTTTCGCTGCAAATCACTGTAAATGTGCATTCAAGCTAGCATGCAATCTAGAACTAAAGAAAGAAATGGTTTGCAAAAACAGCTCAGGAGAAGTGGGTGGTTTTGCTGGCGGTAGCTGAGATTTTGCTTCCCCCCCCCCCTCAAACTTTGGAAGGCACGCCTAATGGAGAGTTAAAGGGATCCAGCCTCATCTTTAGAAGTAAAAGAAAAAACAGAACTACTCTTCTTTTGGCAAGAGCATTGTTCACCTGTCCTGCCGTAGTCGTGAGCATCAGATTCAAATTGAGCAAAGAATAACTGGTGAATATTGAGGTGTGGACATATGGGCTCACTGCTTAGATAAATAGGAATCATTCAACCTAACCAACCTCACGGGGCTGTTCCAAGGGCAAAACAGGCTACCATATTAGGAGCGGAGAAGAAATTGGTGAAGTCTGCATTCTAAAATGAACTTACCTAGACATATAAAGCCTGTATAGTTAGGACAGCCCCTGTATAAGCTGCGCTTTGCCCCCTCTGAAATCAGGAGGAAGGGACTCAATAAGACCCCTAAGACAAACAAAAGAAGTAGGATTGGGGCTCTGAGAACCCTCTTAGACTCTGGCTGCTCAGCTAGGTAAAGGACCCCTGACAGTTAAGTCCAGTCGCGAACGACTCTGGGGTTGTGGCGCTCATCTCGTTTTACTGGCTGAGGGAGCCGACGTTTGTCTGCAGATGGTTTTTCTGGGTCATGTGGCCAGCATGACTAAGCCACTTCTGGCGAAACCAGAGCAGCGCACAGAAACGCCCTTTACCTCCCCACCAGAGTGGTACCTATTTATCTACTTGCACTTTGATGTGCTTTCGAACTGCTAGGTTAGCAGGAGCTGCGATTGAGCAATGGGAGCTCACCCCGTTGCGGGGATTCGAACCGCCAACCTTCCGATCTGCAAGCCCTAGGCTCAGTGGTTTAGACCACAGCGTCGCCCTCATCCCAGGCTGCTCAGCTATTGACAGGTAAACATTGGTGGGATGTTACAAAGGGACGGAACAGACTGCTATCTTCCAATCCCATCTTATCGTCTATCTTATTGTTTTATCTTGTATATTCCAGCGGTTACTGTAAACCACCTTGAGCATTTTTAATGGAAACTCAGGGTATCAATCTTTGAAAGAAATAGATTGCAAACCCCAAGCCGACGAAGACACCAGCATTCTCTTCTTGGTGTCCCCAGTGTTGCATGCAGTTTTCTTGGCAACAGGGGTTGAAAAGGTTAATTTAATTTCTTTTAAATTAATCCAGAAATTTGCATCCACAAAAAAGATGGTAAAAACCAGTATTATAAAGAAACCAGCATTTAGAGTGCAGTTAACCGTGGGTAATAATATCAAAAGAAAAGTGAAATGAGATTTTGACCTGTTCTTCATAAATGATCAACCCACCTCAAGAGATGTACTTTTAAGTAAAACTTTTGACAGCTTTTTCCTATTTCAGTCTTGGATTCTTTCTGAGTTATATTCATTGAGCCTTGTTTACTTCTATGAATATAAAAAAAAGAGAGGGAGAGAGAGAGGATCAATGCAGTAATAATACAGCTCAGCCTTCTATTCATATAGCATCTGATGAAGGCATCCTACAGTTCTGAAATACAGACAGTAGCAGGGACAATATTTCATATCCTTTGAAGGACAAAAGCAGAATTGTTACAGGAACATCAGCAATAAAATAACATTTGAAGCAAACATGAAAGCATAAAGGGGGAGGGGAGGAGACATTACTGAGGCCAAGGTAACTTTCTTTCTTTTTTTAAATGATATTTATTGGAATTTCACATGAAAAAACATCTTAATAAAAAAGAAATTTAAAAAGAAAAAGAAAAGAAAACACCATACAAAATACAAAAAGAAAAAAGAAAAAAACAGTTAAAAACAATTCCGTCTTTTCATCACAACTTTTACATTTACTTATTTCCCGGACCTCCTCATACCTCCCTCTTTTGTATTCCGATTTAATTTGTTTGTCCAGCAATTCCTTTTCCTCCTTTTTAATCCCATCCTTAATCTTAATATAATATCACATTGAATTTTAATCTATTAAAAACCAATTTTCCATTTCTTTTGACTTTTTTAGTCCTAATCCTTAGTCTTAATCTATCTTTAACTTTAAAGCCTGTACAGCTAGAAGCCACTTAATTTCAATCCAACATCACTCTAACATTCTTTAATTAGGCCAAGGTAACTTTCAGGCACTGTAAGATATGCTAACATGAGTTGGTTCCTTGCAAGAGAGGAACCTGGGCCATTTCAAGTGATGTCTCAAAGAATTTGCTATGGGTTGAAGTGGAGCATCTCAAAAGAGCAGTCCATGAGCAGCTAACCTGGATATTTTTCTCTATGCAGGTTCTTATCAGTGTGATGTAATCTGGTTGTTCTCGGTCCATAAATCTCATCCCAGTCTAATAGTAGAGGGGGCTGCACAACAGAACCAGCAGGACGCCACTCTCTCACCCCAATCCTAATTTACTTAGAAGAAAGTCACACTGAGTCCAAAGGGATTTACTTCCTAAGTCAGCATACAATGTACAATAGAACCCGGCATTCAGCCACAGGTGAGGTCACCATCCACATCACCTGACATACAAGGTCTGTTCATAGAATATTGGCTGGACATCACACCACTCTTGTAATATGTGTAAAAAGGGGTCGTGTGGATGATACAATACATCATTCCTTCACACAACCATGTCGCTTCACTCTTGGGGGACAGGGAATACCAGTAGTGGAAGGAAGCACATAATTCAATAACAGGATTGCCAGATCGCTGGCATCCCCAAACCTGAAGCTTATGGGACATCATGAGTTGGAGTTTGATGGGGCTCCAAACTCCTTTAAAAAGGGGAAAAAAAGAAAGCTAAGCAGGTATGAGGTCTGAGGCTTAGTGGTAACTATTAGAGATGTGAAGGGTTGGGGAAATGAAACAGGTAGGGGGGGACAGTATACCTGAAGGAGTGTCTCCACACACATTGTTCAGCCCAGACACTGAGGCCCAGCTCCAAGGGCCTTCTGGTAGTTCCTTCCCTGCAAGAAGTGAGGTTACAGGGAACCAAGCAGAGGGCCTTCTCACTAGTGGCGTTTGCCCTGTGGAACACCCTCCCATCAGATGCCAAGGAAATAAACAACTATCTGACTTTTAGAAGACATCTGAAGTCAGCCCTGTTTAGGAGAGTTTTTAATATCTGATGTTTTATTGTTTTTTTATTATTATCGTTAATACTGCTGGGAGCCATCCAGAGTGGCTGGACGGGGTATAAAAATTATTATTATTATTATTATTATTATTATTATTATTATTATTATTATTATTATTTTATTATTGTTATTATTAAGAGAAATCCCTTGGCGTTTTTGGTTTCATTTAGTTTACAGGATCACTGGGAAAATACACATATGATTTTTCTCTCTGTGTGTTCAGAATGATAAGTGATTTCTTTTAAAGTTGTGTTTTAAACTAATAATGCAGAAAAGCTCCTAGATCCATGATTCAAAGTTATTGATTTGAGACTAGCCGATAGCCCTAAGAATTAAACTTGCTGACCTGAGAATGGACCACAAAACTCTGAGTCTTAGTTGCTCTCAGAATGCCATTGGATCCAGCCACAGAAAAGGAGCAACTGTTGAGTTCTGGTAAAGGCCCCTCAGTACAGCAGTGGCAACAGATACTGTAATTGTTTACACACTTCAGTACAATGAACTAGGAAATAATCCCAAATCACCTTCTTGTGTTGAGAAAATGCCCGGCAGTTGAGCCTTGTCGTGCTGCAAGCCTGCACAATTCATAGTTCACTGACTCAAATGCAACCCACAAGTCATGAATTCCAGCACTTGTCAAATGCCTGATTTATTTCTTTATTTCTTCATCCTGCCCAGAGCAACCCAAAGTGATTTATAACCAAACAGACAGACAATAAACCAAACATAGATACATTAAAACAAAGAGGAAAGAAAAATACATTTAAAAACCATCCCATTCACAGATAGTTAAAGGCTAAAAGCCTGGTTCTAAAGGAAATTTTTGCCTGGCACCTGAAGATTTATAATGATGGCACCAGGCGAGCTTCCCTGGGGAGAGAATTCCACAAACAGGGAATGATCATACACTCCATCCTGCTTTTCCAACCCCAGGCAGCTGCAGGACTAGAGGTTTGCAAGTGACACCTGCAACAAAATGTTGCATTGTGGAGGGTTGCAGCCAGCCATTCCTTCTTCCAGCATATGCCATTCCAACTCTTCACCCCCGTTTTCCGACTCTCCCCACAACAGACACATAGCAAGTTCATTCTTCATTGAGTTTGGGGAGGGAGGCTTTCCCTCTGAAGTTTTGTTCTAGTTCTGCAAACACTGGGGTCCCTCAAGCATCTCTCTCTATCTGGGTTACAGATTTGTCATAACTCAGCACCTAAGTTCATTATTAGTGTATATGATTTATTCCCCCAATGGGTCACTGTCCATGGCTGGTGGAGTCACAAGTCATTCAAACCTGGCCTAGAAGATTACAATTGCAATTTATAGAGTTGGAATGGACCACGAAGGTACTCTAGTCCAACCCCCTGCAATGCAGGAATCTTTTGCCCAATAATGGGGTTGGAACCCACGACTCTGAGATTGGGTGTCTCATGATCTGCCGACTGAGCTATCCCTCTGTATACTCATAATGTTGCCATTCACCAACCTGACTTCACTGCTTTGAAAACACAAACACATTTTCCCATTCAAATAATGCAAACACATAATGCAATTGGCAGAATGCACCCAGGATATATTGCTAGCAGCAATGCAGAAACTTTTCGACGTTAACATACATTAATAAGATAGCAGGAAACAGTGAGATGAAATACAGCGGTGCTTGGCTTCCTGGCTTTCTAATGTAAAATCTGTAATGCTAGCACATAAATACAGGGAACGGGAGCAGCGCTGTGTTGTGCATTATGAATCCTACCAAGTGCAAAAGCAGAAATAAAATGGATATAATGAAATATCTGTTATACTGCGATATAGATTCCCCCCCCCATAAAAAACAGAACATATAAATAAACACAAGGCTTATCCTTGTTCCTCCACGTTCCTAAATGTCCTCTGAGAATATAAATACCTGCTCACATATCCCCCCAGATGGTTTTAGGATTAGAAATAGTGGTAAAGGTTGCTAAATTGTTTCAAATCATAGTTTCAGGAGAAGTGGCAGAAAAATCTGACATGGATGATTAGAGATATTCTCCCACCTAGGAGGAAAATTAAGTTTTCTTTCCTGTACAGTGACTGAAACTCTCTTTGTTCATATTTCCAAAAGGCCAGGAAGGAACATCTAAACAGGAGAGCTGGGCTATTTCCATATTATCTCTGAACTGCCCACAGTGTTCAAGTTTCACATGTTTGTTACAGTGGCAACTGCAGCTAGGGGAAATTTCTGTTCCATATTTCTTCTACTACTGGGTGTTAATATGTTTCAAAAGAAAGACCGCCAGCAATGAAACTCAGCGCTCGCAGGAAAAGATATATTTCATTGCCATGGGCCTCTCACCTGCAGCTGTTAATAATGGCACATGAAAATGGATGAAGAACCCAACAGGAAGTTCTACATACATCCCAAATTCAGACAACTGGTCCCAAAGCTACCTTTGAGGAAAGGTATATGCTGTTTGGGGATTCATCCTCAGTGGAGCTCCTCTTCAACTGGCTGCATTGCTCCTTTTTTATTGCTACAAATTCACAACAGCAATCTTTTTGCCCTTGCTTTTCTCCCTGGAGACATTGGTTTTTGTTAGAATGACTGTAGAGAAGCAGCTTCTGAGGAGTTATTAACCTTGGATAGCTTGTGTGAGAGAGATTGAGGTTGAATCCTGACAAGACAGAAGTACTGCTTTGGGGGGACAGGAGGCGGGAAGGTGTGTAGGACTCCCTGGTCCTGAATGGAGTAACTGTGCCCCTGAAGGACCAGGTGCGCAGCCTGGGAGTCATTCGGGACTCACAGCTGTCCATGGAGGCACAGGTAAATTCTGTGTCCAGGGCAGCTGTTTAGCAGCTCCATCTGGTATGCAGGCTGAGACCCTACCTGCCCCAGACTGTCTCACCAGAGTGGTGCATGCTCTAGCTATCTCTCGCTTGGACTACTGTAATGCTCTTTGAAGGTCACCTCGAAACTACAACTAATCCAGAATGCGGTTGCTAGACTGGTGACTGAGAGCGGCCGCCAAGACCACATAACACCAGTCTTGAAAGACCTCCACTGGCTCCCAGTACATTTCCGAGCACAATTCAGAGTGTTGGTGCTGACCTTTAAAGCCCTAAACAGCCTTGGTCCAGTATACCTGAAGGAGCGTCTCCAACTCCCATCGTTCAGCCCAGATACTGAGGTCCAACTCTGAGGGCCTTCTGGTGGTTCCCTCACTGCGAGAAGCCAAGTTACAGGGAACCAGGCAGAGGGCCTTCTCAGTAGTGGTGCCCTCCCTGTGGAATGCCCTCCCACTAGATGTCAAAGAGAAAAACAACTACCAGACTTTTAGAAGGCATCTGAAGGCAGCCCTGTTTAGGGAAGCTTTTAATGTTTAATAGATTATTGTATTTTAATATTCTGTTGAAAGCCACCCAGAGTGGCTGGGGAAACCCAGCCAGATGGGCAGGGTATAAATAACAAATTATTTATTATTATAAACTGGCCTTGCAACCCATGTGTGGGCTCAGATTGGGGATGGTTGAGAAATCAGTATGATGTGAATCAATCCCATTCACATTTCTGAAATTATAAGGCAAACTGAAATGCAGCTGTCCTTTGAAATGGTCACTTCTCTTATTTTTGTGATGCAGTTCTCACATCCCCACCCAGGAAAAAAGAGCATACAAGTCGCTGTCCTCAATAGATCTCTTGGGAGGATCAGTACATGATCTCAATGTACGTCCCTGTTCCTGAGCCCAATAGTATTCCTGCTTAGGGTGAATGGAACCATAACCGACAGAAAGCCAAACACCAGCGTATTATGAATCACACTTTCTACCTGGGGTATATTTTTCTCCTCTCAGGCACTTACATCCCAACAGCCAGCTGGACCTCAGTAGGCAACTAATTGAAGCATCAAATTTTCTTCCCATGAATACTGCAGAAAGCTGACATTTGGAATAACAGAATTAATTTCAGTGGCATTTTCATTCCCCCTTCTGTAATAAAATAGTCCCCCAATGCATGGAAGGTATTTGAAACAATGAATATTTGGGTCTTATAAAAACAATATGATATGCATGCTGTTGCAGTGACAAGGTGCCAGCTTTCAGAGAATTACAGTGGAAGTAATATTTTTACTGCTCTGTTCAGTGTGTGTGGAAATCTCTATTGCAACCTGCAGCCGCTGTGCAAACTGATATTAATCCAGGCATGGAAATGAAAGATCGGGAGAGCAGCAGGCATCAACCACTGAGTGGCTTCGGCTTCAACCCTCAGGAGACACAAGAACATTGAACACTGGAAACAGTGGTGGGTGCAATAAGCCTGTCTAATTAATTGTTGAACCTTTGAATTATGACACCGTAAGGCTGAAGGACATTTTCAGACGTCAGTTGCCATGCATGGCATCCAGACTATGGGCAAATGAGTTTTGATCACACATTGCACCTCTACTGTGCCCAGTATGTGATACAATTCTCCTGGATGGGATGACAGAAACCCTTTGCAGGTGTTTGGTGTGAATGTGTGCAGGCTAAATGTGGTCCATTGGGGTTGGTCCATTAGGAACATGGGCAATACCCCACTGTCATAGTCTTGTTGCTGAGCCACAACGTGCAGAGCTCAGTGGAGTGGGAGACCAGCCAACCAGAAGAGTCTTTGATGTGTACTTACTTGAAGGCAGAGTCAATATCTGGAGTCGGGTCCAGTCCTAGAGTCAGGCAAACATATGGTCAGATGGTCCAGGGGTCAGGGAATCTGAAATATACTCAGAGTCAAGAGTGGATTTCATGCTCTTTATTCCGCTCATAGTGGTGAGGAGGAATGAAAGTTTCCCCAAAGTATCTGCTTTATATACATTATTTACACAATGGGTTGCACGTGATTAGCTAATTCCGGAATTCTCCTGTAGGCCAATCAGGTTGTGGATTCACTTCCATCTGGAACTGGATTGGGTGGCTCCTGCAGACCAATAATCATACTGCTGCATTGTTCTAGGACCAATCAGACTGCTGCATTCTGAATCCTATTGTTCTAGGACCAATCAGACTGCTGCATTTTGGATCCTATTCAACTCAGTACCTAACAGAATCCAATGAACAAAGGTCAAAACAAGCAAGAAGCAGCAAGGCAGGGTCAGGAACCACAAGCATTTTTCTAGCATCTGAGTGCTGCTGAAAGCTCTTCTTAAGGAGGCTGAAGCCAGCTGGTTCTCATCAGCACCTTCTCTGTGTCCTTGAAGACTGATCAGCTGCAGGTGGAGTCAGTCCACCTTCTCCCTCTTCAGGCTGCTGTTCAGCAGGAGAAGCTGACTCCTGGCCCATGACACCCACCAATCTCAATCTTCCCAAAGCCAGCCCTCGCCTGCCCGCCTTCTTGCATACCACCAGTTCATGCAGCAGACAGCTTCCTCCTCCTTAGTCTCATTGTTACCCTTGTGTTGCTTCAATGTTAGGGTTGCCACATGTCCTCTTTTTGCAGGACACGTCCTCTTTTTCAGGGGTAAAATTTCTGTCCTGGTGGATTTTTAAAATTTGCTAAAATGCCTCTGGCTATTCTTTCTGGATGAGACATAGACATAACTGGTGGCTGAAGACTGGCTTTCCTCTTCTCTTCTCCTGCTCCCCTCAGCAATATATCACAGCTTCTATAGTCTACATATACAGTAGTAGGGGTACTGAAAATGAGAGTCGTCATAGCATCCTCTTTTTTGCTCTTCAAAATATGGCAACCCTATTGGTGTCCAACATGTAGGAGGATGAGGACAAGCCTAGAATCAATAGCTTCCGCCTGTCATTGGCTCAGGCTTCACCTGCCATAGGCGTCCCCATGGAAACAGCCAGCAATGGGTAGGAACAGGACCCAATTTTCTAATCTCCATGACACCCTTGCCGCCATTCATTTTAAAGCTTAGTGGTATTTATTTAGTACGTATAGTGGAACCTTTGAAGCCCAACACCTTTGAACTCAAATGTTTTGGCTCCTGAACAGTAAAAAACCGGAAGTGACGGCTTCTGATTGGCTGCTAATTGGAAGCTGCGCCTTGGTTCTTGAAGTGTTCTGGGAGTCAAATGAACTCCTGGAATGGATTAAATTCGAAAACCAAGGTACGGCTGTATACTATTTGAAATTCAAGAGGGAGGAACATCCTCCCCCCCCCCCCAGTTCTGCTTGGCTTGCTGTTGTTTATTATAACTATATATGAAAAAAGGCTTAAAATGTACATATTTTGCTCTCTCTGCTTATTAACGTTTGAAAGGGTATCTGCAGAACATTTGCAAAACAATGATGTTTTACCCAATTTGTTATGTCTGATATATCACCGCCGTGTCAAAAACCACTAATTTCTGAATGAAATGCCTATTCGGAATTGAAAACACAATCTTCCACATGCAAGGTAGAAAGTTACTTTGCATAGCATTATAGTTAATCACAGTATCTCTTGCTCAACTCACCCAAGAGGCAGACTGATAGGGTGACTTAGG